TAAATATGGTGTATGGAGAGCAAAAGAGCCAATAACTGTCTTTCTTTCTTTCTTTCTTTTTTTCCCCTTCCTTGGCAGTTGATGGTAAGATGAATTGATGTAAGTACTTAATAATACAACTTGATATTGACTATGTAATAGTATACATGTGATTATATGCTATGAAAACGGAAAATAAAACTTTTATGACACAAAAAAAAAACAGCAGCAGCAGCAGCCTTTATTGTCATTGTACATCATGTATAAAATGAAATTGGTTTAGCCTCTACTGGTGCAATCCATAACAGAAAACACAAGACAACATGAATAGTATAGAGAATAATCCTTATACAAGTAATTGTGGTAGTGGTGGGGAATTAGTTGTATAAAAAGTACATTATAAAACCTCAGCTACCCTGTTGCCCTGCACTCCACAGAGTCTGCCACACCCAGCTGGTGTTCCCCATCTTCCTCCTGTTGCTGACAAGTCACACCCAGCCTGCTTTCTGACCATGCTAGGCCTTCTCCTTGAGGCCTCACACACCATTCTCCAAATCACACATGCTCCAAATAGTATTCTCATGGTCCCTCAGAAAACATTTGGAAAGCTTTTGAAGTCTTCCAAAGCATCACAAGAACCGGATGCACTATTTAGAGAATGGCAGGCACCATGTGAGACCATCTTCTGGTGTCACAAGGAAGCTACAGTGTGGTTTGACCTTGAGAAGAAAACCTCATGCAGCTGGCCTTGCGAAAGGTCAGGCTGGACATGTTTGGTCAGCAGTGGGAACAAGTAGACCACAAAGGTCAACTATGGTGGGAAGGGGCGCAGAATGCAGGCCAAATGGGCAAAGGTGATCACATGACTGTAGGGGTGCGGCAAAAGCTTTGATGCCAGGACCCTGGTCGTAAATTGTTTTTTTTCAGTGCATTTGAAACTTCAAATGGCCACTGAACTAACAGTCATAAGCTGAGAATTATCTCTTATTGGACTGTCTGGGTCAGGGCCAAGAATTAGTGATAAGGATTATTTTCAGAAAGTATAACTAAAATGAATTAAATATATAAATGATTATTATCAAACAAAGTCCAGTTCAGAAGTGGATTTAAAAAGGGAACTTCATACAAAGATATAACAAACTCCTTGTATTTCACCACATAAGCAATTAAACTTTATTCTGGGGAATTAATGAATATATTGTTTACAGAAATCAATAGAATTGGCAACGGTGGAAGTTTGAAAAGCTTGCAAACAAATAATAAACATTTGCCTTATGTTGAAATGTTGCATTTTCTCTTTGAAATTTTGGGAGCTATTAACAGAATGAAATAAAAAAGAAAATTGCTTTTGACTCTCACATTAATTAAACAAATTAAGAGTCTGGCAAGAACAACTTCATGCATAATTCACAATTAATGACTCATGCAGTAAATATAGGAATTAGTATAATGTTCAATATATTCACACAGACAAAAAACCTAGACAATGAACCAACCCTTGGCAGCAGTTGTTTTTTCAGAAATAGTTTAAGTCTCTTAAGAAATTTCAGAACTCTTTTCTTTTACAGTATTACTTTTGTGGTGGCTCTGATTCTACTCCTCAACATTATGGACACATTAATGTGTCCTTCTATTAGGTTACAATTCCATGTATCTAGGTATAAGGCCAAGAGAAGTTGTGAAGGCATTACTTGCATAAAATTGGGCTGTGGCACCAGAACATTACAACATTTCTTTCTATCAGAAAAGGACCAAATGGAAGAAGAGTCACTGCTGAAACTGTATTAACAATCCAAACCAGAACAAATAGGGCCAGCTCAGATGTCACAACTATACTGTAAAGCTTCTGGTTCAGTTTGAAGGACTAGAAACTTGTTTTAAGCTGATAACTGAGAATGTTAAATTCATTTCTGTGAATGCTTTAAAATGCTGTTTTAATGGCTGCTACTTAATGTTCCTATACTTTTTTCAGATAGAAGTAAGTATCTGTCCAGCCAGATATCTCAGAAATATTCTAAGTAGAATATTCACTCACACATGAAAAACATATATAATATTAATTTGGTTCTACCCACAAGATTTTGGGATCATCCTATTCATTTTTGAAATCAAGCAATCACAGCTGTATGTTTTAAAAAATGTATCTGGTGTCCATTAGTAAAACTATGTAAATAAAACAATCCTAATATACATCTCTTTTTAGCTGTATGCCTTTATTAGTAGGAAACATGTTGGTTGCACCTGCTGAAGCACTTTGTCATTTTCTTTGAGTACTAGTGATTTACCAAAGAAAAACCCATTGCAAATCTGTCCTTGGAAGATTTGGAAGACATTTATTTATTAAATGTATATGCCGCCTATTTAGATAGATAGATAGATAGATAGATAGATAGATAGATAGATAGATAGATAGATAGATAGATAGATAGATAGATAGATAGATAGATA